GTGGGGTGGGGTGGAGTGGGGTGGAGTGGGGTGGGGAGGCATCTGTTAGAATTTGTTTATGTTACAACATTATGTAACCGTACATGTCAATATCCCGTTACACCTTCACAGGGCTCCCCAACACCTATTATCAAAAATGACGTGTCTGATCGTGTCAACATGCACAAAAAAAAGGTTTCCGGAGGAACGGGGAGGACAAAAGATTGCTATCTTCTGGCCACTATAAAGAAACGGGTAGCATATCGTTACACAACGGCAGTGCCAGTGCAAACATCACCAAAAATGTTAATATTTGATTATCTAACGACATCCGGTTGGAGAGAAACAACTAACATCCGGTTATAGACCCCCAGGCGTTTCTATGGAGACACTTAAAAGACCAATGCCTGATCATGTTCCCTTAGATAAAACGTTTTATTTAATTGTATTCGAGTTTTACATATCGTAGAAACGAGATTCGATTCTTAAGAGCTTGAGGCAGACATTGACTGATATATTACACTAACCTTAAAAGAAAGACAAATGCACGAGCCAAATTCATAAAAAGTATTACCTGGCAATTTTCCCTCACACTATTGCTTTTTTTATTTGAGTCGATTTTTTATTAATATTTTTCCATTAAAAATTTTGAAATGCGACGAAATACCACGGGAGTAACTACTAAGGAGGCATTAAATTCACCTTGAAATAATTCGATTTTTTTAATTGAAAACAGAAATTGAATAATAAAGAATGTTTAAACTGCTGAAAGAAGATTCACACGATTGACCGAGTCGAGGCCATTAAATAGCTCCTAACTCACGTCCTGTAAATAAGACACGAAGTGGCAGGGACCTCGAGAGGTTAGACTTTGAGTAGCAGAGACAGGTGCCCGCAGAGACACGCTCTCACAGATCTCCCGCTAATTGACGGAGTTTTCGGTGAGTGGAGTTTGACCTAATTAGAGTGTATTAATTAGACGAGGTCATTGATACTTCGTTGTCACGTGTCAGACTAAATGAAGCGGAATCAAGATGGTAGCTGACATCGAGTACAAATAATTGTCTCGATTTAAACTGGCTAAATCCGTTGGACTTATTTGCCCTTTTGGAATGCTTTGCTGCTGTTAAAGTATGGAGATTTCCTTTTGTTTATAAACAACTTTTCATGATGAATAAACAGCAGTAGATAATTTTTGATTCGTGAATCTCTTACCTACCGGAACGCACCGAATTCACAGTGTGAATATTAGTAAATTCCGGATCCTTGATCTGTATTGCCAAGCCTGATCTGCCGTACATGTATTGCTAAGCTTTATGAGATATAATATGCACGTTTATATGTAAACATGTAGACTTTCTTTTAACACATGGTCAGTTTAGAACCCAACAGGAAGCTCATGCTAAACTCGTGTCTGCAAATATTTACACATGGTCTCGGCATCATTCAGCTTCTGCCTTTGAACGTCGAGTATGCAATTCACATGTAAAACTCTTCTCTAGCCTATACCATATGTTACAACAAATCAACTGTGTGAGAAGTTGCCCGGATATTTTTGTATTTTATGTACTGCAGATATATTTTTTTCACATATGATACGAGAGACCAATTCAAAGATTTGGGAAAACCTGCCTCCTTTATCATTTATATGTCTGGTTTTCCACTTTAAATCTATAAAGGTTCACAGAACACCGACTATTTATAGAATATAACACAACGCTGTATACTTCTGGTACAAGTGAGATTAAACTCTCCATAATGTCAACATATCAATTTCATATCGAAGATTAACAACATGGAGTTCAGGCTAGTTCCATTTACGTTTGAATAACACTTTACGTTTTTTTTTTCTTTAAAGTTGAAGTGTTATACTCCAGCACCTAGTATAGTCTGTTATAATAGTATATGACTATCCGACTTCAGTCTAAAATAGACCCATATTAAGAACAATGAATTCCTCATTGTATACATAATGCACTATTTAAAGATTACATACCACCTCGTCTACTTAATAAAATAGGCTCTGACTTTCTAAATTCTGTACATTTTGTGGAACTTTAACAGTCTTTCTGATTTTAAATATTGTTTAAAGTTCTTTTAAATCTGATAAAATGGGAATAAATGCTATCTTCACTATGGTAAAATGGGGCTTAAAGTTTAATTTTAGACTGCTTTTCTCGTCTGAGAGTTTAAATGCATTCTCGTTCTACTTAAATGCAATTTATATCGGCGTGTAAATCTAATAACATTCAAACACGTGTTATCTGTTTTAAAGTTGCATGATGAGGTAAAATTTGATTTTAAAAATGTCCCCTTGACTGTTCCTGATGGAAAATGAGTATTTCCTTATCACAGACTTGTGTTCGTGATTTCAATAACAAAATGTTATCATATCGTTTTATAACATATATACCGAAACTCTACTCGCTAATGTTACACTTTTAATGTACATCCCATCCGATATGTATCAAGGGAAATGGGAGCTCAGGATGTGTTAAAGTTGAAGTTTAGGAATGTGTTCATAATCCTCCTCATCTCTGATGAGAGTATATCCAAGAGGTACAATATGGCACTAACTGCCGTGCGTTTACTCCCATGTTTACATGTGTAATGGTGTACAAGCGTACTCATTGCACTGGCTAATTATCAAACATATTCTAGTGCTAAAGTACTCAACGCTAACAGCATATGTACAATCTCTCCCCTCCTCCCCCAACCCCGTATACACTCTGTTTCTGTTTCTAATCTCACACCCAAACCTTCCGGATAGAAAATGATCAAGATAGCAAAATATAAATTAATTTTACGACACTGCCTTTTTTTAGTTTACGACTTGTCGTATTTTCTTACTTCCATTTAAACGGAACACCCTCCCTCTACCACTATTTCTCTCGTGCAACGTGGTATCGCGAGATATTCGGAGTTTCCTGGGCGATACAAACAGACAAAAGACACTTGCGTTTGTACTTTCCTGAACTAACTCGCGCGTGCGATCTACCGGGGAGCTAAAAGTGAAACTTCCAGAGTAAATTACCCCTCCCTATGGTGTCACGTGCCTGGGGCAAGAGACTCCGACCCTTGTCTGGCATGTGCCATACAGCCTTACAGCTCTGTTACATTAAACATACCTCCACTCCCGCTAGCTTCCAACATTTGGTTTAGTTTTGAATATTTTAGGAAAAATATACATGTCTTTGAAATTTGTTGTAAAGTTGATCCCAGCATGCGGACCCATCATAACCTATCTGGCATCTACCACGTGATGCGCGCGAGATCTGGACCCCTTGGCGCGTGCTGTCAGCATGTGGAACACACTCACTTATACTTCGCTAGTTTTCATTGAGTTAAACTTCGTCATCTTAAACCGACCGGGCACTAACTATGTTTTAACTCAAGACCTATTGGGAAAATGTAGTTTTTTTAATCACAGACACGTCAAAAACAACAATAGCTAAAAATAAATCTGACATTATCAATGACAGATTTAGAACTCTGAATACAAGGCCAGCGTTACATTCGTCATTCTGGTGTAAGTACGTACAAATAGTTAACGAGTCAGAAGCAAGAAACTAAAACATCGAGGCCTGGCGAATACGTACGTACCCACACTATCTAAACGGTCACAGATACCGGTGAAAATATCCGGATTATTGTGAATTAATGAAGTACATGATCTATTAAATAAAATCTTAGTAAAGTTGTTTTTGTTTTATATAAATATGATATGCATGAGCTGGTGATCTATCTACATGTGTCTAAATACAAGGTTAGGAACCGGTGAAAAGAGTCAAGAACGCTTAACTACAGTGTCTAATGCAGGGGTCGGAACCGGTGACTATGAATCCGGACGGTGTTAGTAAGTAACGTAATGGACGTTTTAGTAGTAAAACACCCCAACTTGTCTCCACAACGTGTGCAGCATCAACACGCCACTCTATGTTTGGTTTCAACCCAATCACCCCTAAATCTCACAAAAAGAAATCAACTATCCATTGTTTAGACTATTCGAAAGAGTTTTCTAGGGGTGAAAGGGTTATTTAAAAGAAACAAAGACCACACAGGGGGTATGATAATAAACAGAAATTTGTCTTTAGAAAACTGCACTGTGAATTGTTTCAAGAGAAAATGCCAAAATAAATCACAGTATGTTTTTAATACAGCAAATCATTCCATATCCTACAAAAACACCCAACAATTATGATAACAACTTCAAAAGTTCAAAGTTCAATTACCAAAAAGGACATAGTAGAGTATTACATAGGATATCCACACTCTGTACAAGCAAAAGGAACGAAAGTTTGAAAAAAGAAATGACCAAAAATACACATCAAACGTCACAGTCAAACAGCCAATCAGAATCACCGTTTTATGTGTTGTTTGGGGCGAGCCTTGTGGCAGGTCGGAACATTTTTGTCCGGAAAAAGGGGTATCGAGCCCTATTCCGGATGTTAGTGACTGCACTTCCGGTCATGGGTGGTAGCGGTATCGCTGTCACACGACAGTTCAGTGGAGTTATTCCTAGCCTCTATAAAGTGACAAAAGACATACTTGATCAATCCCCGTCAATCTTTACTTCTACATACATTAAAGGTGCGAATTAATTATTGAACACGAATTAAACCTTATTCGAGACGGAATTCCCATTAGACAACGCAGGTCAATTCAAGTGTGATATTTCTCCGCAAGAAGATTTTAACTAATATGAAAAATAACCGGTTTGGTCATCAATTTATAAATGATACAAAATTAAAATGGATGATATATTTGTATGAAAATTTAGCAGTATTTCCCTTCGACATGATCTATGTTACTTTACCACCCCTGTCGGTTTCCGAAGGTATTGTAGTTTGGCGTCTATGATCCCGCCTCATCACCCCTGTACCAACAACTAACCACCTTACATATGTCCTAGGTTTTCCCGTACTCCCCTTACAAATCCCAACCTGCTAACTAGGCATGTCTGTATGGTTCATTGTTTTAATGTGTTAACAGAAAACGTTTAGCAGAAAACGGATACTGACCCGTACTGGCTCGGCAGTATCCCTGGTAGTCCCTTGATGGCCAGTGGAATTCCTGCAATAAGATAAACATGATTTTAAAACAAATGTCAAAGGTGGTTCATGCAGTTTGTCATTCGGAATACCTCGGCCGATTTGGTCATCATTGATGAAAATAACTGTAATCTGGATGAGGTGTTCCGAATGGCATTTATTTTTTGCAATATCTTATGAATTAGGACAGTTTTGTAAAATATCCGGATAGCGTATTTTCCGGACAACAGGAGTTCGTATTGCGTATGGTTTTCCTGTATACTAAACAAAGTATCGAACATGCCGTCAAATGAAACTGCATTCAAGTTATCAGCAACGAAGGCAATCCGCTCGTGAAAGTATGAAGTAATATATTGCAACATAACATAGCTTGACCTTGGAAGCACAATAAGGGCCCAGTACAGTGTGACAGACGAACTAAGACTCCATTTCTACGTAACGTTCAAGGTTTTAAAAATCTCAGCCGATATGGGTGACCTCGTTAGTCTGTACGTTTATGTAAATATTGCACTATAGCATATGTTGTTACTGACTGGTTGGCCTATTGTATATACTGTCATTTGTTACTGACTTCACTTTGATGTCATATTTATAGAATGGTGATTTTATTTTCCATTATGTATGGGTTCCTTATTTTATGTATACAAACTATCAAACTTATGCGTTAATAGTGTAGAATGAGTCATTCATGTGTTGTGTTATTTAGAATCAATTTGACTACCAAAATCTACAAAGACAATTACTATGTATCTTAAATTAGGAATGTTGTTTAAATAGAAAACGTTTTGTTAGTATTTTTATTTGGATTTTCAGAGGCGTCAGACATAAAATTTCCAAATTTTAAATGTTTTTAATTAGCGCGTGTTTTGCAATTAGCCGATCAGTGAAGCAAGCGTCACCATGGCAAACGACTAGTTAGTCATTACAGGCCTCGGGAGATCTAATGAGAATTTTATGATATATTTCAATTAGAATTTACAAAAAGCGATCAATATAAAAGCTTGAACGATTTTTAATTAGAGTGCATTTTGCAATTAGCCTATAAGTGAGGCAAAGTTCAACTTTGGTGGGAAACATTTTAGTTGATGGAGTAGTTGATGGAGTCAAAAGAAAAGTTAGTTGATGGAGTCAAAAGAAAAAGCAAAGGGCAAGTAACTCCATGGGCTGTTCGCCATGTTTTTTGACATGGGACGTGTATGTCTACCGATCTGGTTAAGGTTTTTTTACCAGGTACACGTGTCACAGACAGTGTTGTTACACACTGCCATAGTGTTATATACATGTACTTACACGTGTCACAGACAGTTTTGTTACACACTGCCATAGTGTTATATACATGTACTTTCACGTGTCACAGACAGTGTTGTTACACACTGCCATAGTGTTATATACATGTACTTACACGTGGCATAGACAGTGTTGTTACACACTGCCATAGTGTCATATACATGTACAAGTTTTTTTCGTTTCGTGATTAAACATTATTTGATAAATTTAGATTTTGACAGACATAATCATCAATACGAAGTTATAGGCCCCTACACTACAGTTTATTGTAGTCATATTCACTGCAGTTCAGGGGAACTGTAAATCAAATTACTATTATGATTTTTTTTCTGCTAGTTTGTCTAAGATTGGAACATAAACATATCACTTTTATATGGTATCAATTACAACGTGTGCATCGAGATCTTGTGTACTCTGGTGTTTTGATACGACAATTACATCTCGTGAGCCTATGACAGACTAGACGTTCAGTACTTAACATTGAACTTAATTCGGTGTATTTACTTAATGTCACACTTTAATAAAGTAGAATAACAATAGTATTTAAATTGAACTTAAATCGAAATTATTGTTAAAATTCTAATTATAACTACAGGTAAAATTGTGGTGATCATGGTTAATACAACTAAAAGTGTTTTAAAATTATATCTAGATCGAATTATTGTTGAACTTTTCACCTCGTCATTTCTGTATTATGTCAAGAGTAGGCATTAACGCCTTGAAGCCGACAAATCTTTTTGATTTTCTATAGAACTGGTATAGAGGATTTAGCACGTGTTTACAATAACTGATCTTTTTATCGTCTTTACAGCTACCGAAATCCTGAATACTGACCACGTGACTCCGTTATTAATTATGGAGATTTATATTCCATATCATGTTGCCACAAATTTGGATTAAAGAACTGCAGATAGCCTTAATTCCTAAGTACGGATTATCGTACACGTAAAGACTTGTCATATAGAAATACCTTAATTCGGGCTATACAATTTCACGGATGGTTGGTTTGCTAAAAGATTTTGATTAATGCCATGACCTTAAGTGCTAAAACTGAAAACGGATCGTTTGACTGACCGGTTACGCGAGTGGTGTCACGTGACAAGAAATTGAAAACTATAAGCGTCAATGTGACAAAGTAGTTAGAACAAATTCCCACTTCTCAAGCGGTAATTGTTTAGAAACCTTTTGGTGAGTTGTGAATTGACACACTCAATTGTCAAACTATCAGAACAGAAACGCCGTCGATGCTTCAGGAACGTTCAAAACAATAGCTTAATCTCGAAATAATACGAGATGAGATGCGATATAGTCAAATTATTCTAGCTTAAATCGACTTTGATATCACACACTAGTTATAGAGACAACTATTTATATCCTAGAAGCGTGGTCGAGTGCGATTTGTATTTATAGCCAAAGAGTTTACATTACAAGTCAGTAGGGTCCTACTTAACAACAGCTTACCAAGTGTTATATTGTAACACGAGAGATTCCTGTTCATAAACCAGATACTTATTGAATATAATGGAACCTATCATTGTTAATACAGCCGAATAACTAGTCCGTGTGGTGTATATCATATCACTTTTATTAGAACCAACAAAGGTGTCTAGTTATAAACTGTCGTAACCAAAAATATAACTCAATAATATATTTCCAGCCAGTTATAATTTTACACGTAGTAAATAGGACACTATATTATGGGGTATTGTTTCCGTTGTTTCCATTGTTCCGATATGTTACACTAAACATGATATGAGGCTTAGCGCGTGCTGTTATTCGGGCACGCGCGCTCTAGAGGTGCACGGTAGCGGTCCGATAGCGATGCTCGGGTGACTCTCTGCTCATGAACTCTCTACGCCTTTGTTCATACATGTATGAAATTCACCGAGAACTGTGTTCGTTTATAGACGCAAACTTATCGCCCCTTTGTTGAGTAGTACAATATCTAGTAACGTACACAATAGAACTCAAACTTCACTTTGACAGAAATTCGTTGGGAATTTGGTTCCGTCATTCAAATTGAAAGTGAAATACGACCGTGTCCTGGCCAGCTTTTAACCACACCGTTATCATTCCGGGGCTAAGCTAACATTTCAGATAGCAGTTAGACGCTTTATTACAGCAGTTGTACTTAGAATTTCGACGACTTCGACTATACAAACGACTTCTAACGAATAGTAATGACCTCTGACCTTTGACACAGAGTACGGTGTATGTGTTTTTGTATTTGACGGGAAAAGAAACTATGCAGCAAGGACCTAAGAGTCCGATAGATTTAACATATGGCATATCATCCCTTGAAACCGTCTAATCTCAAAACCTTGGAATATGGACAGATTCAAAAATATCACTGCCATGTGCTGCTTGTTTATAGATCACGAGAATTACCCCAACACTATGGGAACATACTCGACAAACAGATGGTCTGTATAATCTCGAGTTTTAAAGTTTTTCATCGGGGTAAATTCAGATAATAATTATCTATATTATACAATTCAATCTCTTGTGTTGATAACATATTCATAGAATTCGGGATTTTTACACATTCTTTTTTTTTTAAGATTTCTATTTCCAAAACCTTTTTTTTTATTTACATTTGTTTTTCTCCTACACAACACGGTCACCCAGTACACATGTAGTCACAATGGTGAGAAAGTTGGGGCTTAACTTGGTGGTTTGTAAAGGACAATTTTATTTAGTAGAATTCCATTGTGTACAATAATCAACTAAAGCGACTTCAGCGCGAAGGGGTCGAGGAATACTACCTAAAAGACCAGTAGCAAATTGGATATATCACTTGGTCTCAAAATGTGCAGGTAAATATAATCAATACACAAGTGCGACTAATACACTGGGCACATTTCGTGTGCGTACTGAGGGTATTACATGCCTTCTTTAGTCAAGAAATGAATATTTCTAAAATTCCCAAACACATATACGTGAATTTACTGGTATGCACATGTGTGTGTGTGTGTTTTGTGCCATTAACCGTAAACTTACTCAAACGGAAAATTCATTTATTAAAGTTTATTTCAAACCCAACCATTTGTAGATGGTATGAGTCACCATCCTTACCTGTTAGATTGTTGGTAAGACAGGTGTTTGGTCCTCACATTAATGGGATTTTGTGTAATAAAATCAGACCTCGTAAAAACCGTGTGCACCCGGTATCATTATTAAAGATTAAACAGTTGTATACTCTACAGTCAAGGTTTTGAAAGAGGAGTTTACCTATGTTGACTGTGAGAAATGAACTCGGGGTAAAACGCTCCTACCCTACAGTGTTATAGAGTTTTATATACTCATGTGTCTAGACGCTTGCACTGCGGAATGCACTTTGTATCACACATGCTGTATTGAAATGTGCTTAGTTATTTTTTACTTAATGTAATTTTTAAAATATTAAAGGCTTACGGTTGTGGTTTAATGCCTTTTTTCATGAAAAACTTATTAATCTCAATATTTAATTTCAGTGGTTCAAGCATCTTGAACTAACTAACGTATTTTATTGCTATTTTAAGTTTGACGATACTGGTATGTCAGTAGTATTCTCCGTCTCTTGTTATCGTACCCTCCCGTGAGCACGTGTCCCAAGTTCAGTGGACTGGGTTTTAAATTTCAGTAGTATTACAGTAGTGTTAGAGTTAGGTGTTCGGCTTACGACCGTGGAAACTCACGCCCACCTACAAAATGCTGTCTTTCATACTCAGTCAACACTGCTAGATTTCGCTAACGGGAGAGTTAAATACCCGTACTGATCTTCACACGAGATTCACAACACTAAATAAAGGCTTCAATACTGGGAGGGTCATACTGGTTTAGACGAACGCCTTGTCGTATTTTGAAGGTCCTTTCTAAATACAATATATATATTTTCACCAAATAATGTCAACGTGGGAATTCGCGAAAATATAAAGAAAATCCAGTGCATTTCTATGGGTTTTTTTGTTTGAATTGGATTAAGTTTACAATGTGCGTGTGTTGAAAAATATCAGTTAAGGCTGTGTTACCGGGTAGATAACTCGTATCTGTAAGTCCACGAGGTCTTCTGTTCGTTGGAAAATCATACAGAGAGCAAAGTCAGTTTATCTAGAGCCTAGAATACCGAACACGACACGGACTAGACGTTTTAATAAAACAAAAAACAAAACAAAAAAACACTGTAACATGGAATCCTGATATTCCACAGATGCATCAATATGTAAAGGTGAACAAACAGTACAGGTACGTTACCTGTGTATACAGGTTTGCTTATCAACGTACACAGGTAACTTTTCATAAAATACTTGATAACAAAGTGAGAGCCGTACCTGTTTGGATGCCACGTGGTTTCGCGCCCAGGTAAGCGAGATTTACGTTCGCTTTCCTCCCGTCAATGATGGGGTTAGGATCCTTGCACGCCCTGTCGGCGGCCTCTCTGTTGGCCATTGTTACCTGCAAGAAGAAAGGAACACCGTTAGACCGCAACACGATAACCGCTGCTTTACGGTGCTAGGTAGTCCGCAATTTACCTCAATGGGGCCACAGAAAGGTAACTATAATGGTGTTTCATAAAACTATGTTTTCTCAACGGAGCATTGATAACGAAAATAGTCATTAAGGTTCTTGGGGGCCCCACTCAGCATGTCTTACTACCTCTACGCATACACTTTTACTTACAAAGAATCGTTGCTCGTAACATTAAATCTGACGTGATACAATATAATTAACAAAGATAACATGTAAAATACCAGAGCCATGCATGCGTATTATTAGACACAGCACGTGTTTTGCATTGCAGCAGACTACGGCGCGTGTATGAAAGGGTCGCACACCCGAACGTAGGCCTATAAAACAGTGAGAAACGACTTTAGATTTTAATCAATATTTCGTATGATAACTAAATAATGTATGCGTCTACAGAGCTATTTAGATTGTCATCTCCCTTGATAGGCGTAACGTGCACAACTGAGTAGCGGTAAGTGCTGTCCACACCGTGAAGGGGTACACGTGTAGTAAATGCATATGCGAGTGCACGAGGGACGGAGAGGCAGATCACACAGCTACCACACGTGTAAGATCGTCTACCACCCGTGTAAGATCGTCTACCACACGTGTAAGATCGTCTACCACACGTGTAAGATCAGTTATGGACGTGAGTTTCGTGATTTACCGCAATTAACAACCCACAAATGATGGACATAAAACAGTTTGGTTAAAGTCTGTTTTGTTTAGCCCTGCTAATTATAAACCTCTTTAGTTTAATACCTTGAACTTGTCTGTAATTATACACAGACATACACATACTATCAATTAATACGTCATCTATATTTTAAATTAAAGAAAAGTTTTAGTATTGCCCAATTCTCCCTAATGTAAGGCAAACACTACTAATTGTAAGGTAGCTTGATGCTAGGACGGCGAGTGATTTGAGCCGTGAACATTTAAAATATTACGTAGTTGGACAATGGTGTTTATATGTACAAGGCAGTGTACGATCAACATTACAGTTTAATTGAATACGTATAAAGGGAATTCAATGCCTTAGACTTAGTGGTAGTGGCCTAGCCACGGTCAGATTACTGGGTACTACAGCACCGGGTACTAGTCTACCAAACGTGTACTTTAGAAGATCGGTATCACAAATGTTCCAGACGATTTTAAAGTTTCCTAAACGAAAAGTGTAAAATATCTCAAATTTAGAGAAGGGTTTGTCTGTTGATTTCAAGAAAATATTGATGTATAGTACAGATTGTGACTCGATGTGTTACAATAGTTGTTTGTTAAAGGTATTACGGGTAGCGTTATGTACTGTAGTGTCAGTTCTTGTTACAATGACCGAGGACAATACTATGACAGGTAGGTATACCACAAATCTACCACAAATCTACCTGTGCTGCCAATTGTCAAATCGTTCTGGAGACCAAATCGTTACAATCGATATTTTACAAGAGGCGAAATGTTAAGTCTAAATCTGATGTAACGGGACGAGGTTTCCTGTGGTTTGTAATTGTTCGCATCAAAGGAAGGGTAACTAAACGTTATCCTAATAACCAACCTAGCTGTTTAATTGGAGAAACAATTTAAATAAATGATCAAATCAAGCAGTTACTTTCGAAATTGCATTGATTATTGAAATTCAGGTACGACTGCACGATTTTGCAATAAAAATTGTCGAAAGGCACCAATGTCGTCAAATGTGTCCAAGAATGAATAATAGAAAGTTGAAAGTATCAAACAACATATCAAATTGCTGTGAAATAAGTCCTTCAATTATCATATCATTGTTACTAAAAATCAAAACTTTACTAAATTATGTCTCATCTTGTAGCTAATTACTACTAATTATCTAATTGTTACTTACGAATCCATAGCCACGACTTTTGCCGGTTTGCCGATCCGTGATCACAACAGCCTCCTCGATATCACCGAACTTATCAAAGAATTCCCTGAGAGAGGTGTCTGTCGTATGGTAGGGGAGTCCACCCACAAAGATTTTTGTGTAAGTTGTGTCCTTCTGCTGTATAGTAGTGGCCATTGTGTAGAATATAAAGACGACGAAAGCGAAGATGACAAAATAAAACTAGTAGATAGTATAAATACTCCGCACGTGAGGGTAGGTGTAGTTCTGTGACGTATTTGTTGTATAAATACTCTTCTAAAATAACACAAGTAAAAATAATGATATCACAACCGTATGCACAGATTACAGAAGATAACTACAGACTACGAACTATCCGTAAGTCCAACATACACAGTATATATCCTTGCTTGTACAGTTTTGGCACTCAACTACACAGTGAACAACCAAGATAGCATGGTGGTGTGTTATTATCACCCAGACCACGCCCCCTGCGCATATTTTATTAAGCACGTGGACCCGGCATTCATAAGCCCCGCCCCTAACTCCGCCTACCTGAAACTCCGCCCATGTGAGATATCAAGTTTACCCGGCCGGTGTTCTGTGCTGTGACGTGATATCGCCACGATGTAGTTTAAATTGATCAAAACAGATATTCAAGGCTGATTTGATTTTCATACAACGTTTTTTTTTTATTTCACACACAAAATGTCCACGATACGGACCATTTCGACGTGAAGAGGATTTATCAGATGAAAACTGTAACAACTCAGCATATTTTTGTGCAGTTATTCAGACGCGAATTGTACTGATCTCTCGGGGTAGTTTACACCTTGGTGATTTTTAACGTGTTCTGGCAGGCCGCCACCAGGGTAACTGGAGACATATGTTTTAACTTGCCACTGAGCAGTGGATGTCAACTCACAACTCTATATTATAATATTTAAAATCGATTGTAATCTGTAATCAGCAAGTACCGTGAATTAACTCTCAGACGTGGATTTAGGTGTAAGTCCGGTTTTATAAGTGAGATAAACAATAGCAACACTAGTTCGCTAAGTTCTATAAATCGGATTTTTATTATTAAATCATTTGTTAATCTCGATAAAACACAATAGCACACATTTGCATAGGTGCGCGGTACGGTTTTTGGCTAGTGTTACTCGTGCTTTGTGTACACGGGACCGTTGGGAGGCTGGGCATTGTGTAATTTGTTGTAGTAACGGCTACAAAAGAACTTGGACAAACAACAAATGACGAAAGTCCAGCCCCCTCTGGTCACCCTACTGTGGACGCGCAGCGGGATGAATATGACTTTGCTCCTCCATCTTAGAACGTCAGGAAACTAAGTCGGCCTGTCGTTTCGGGGCGATATAATGCACTTGTTGCGCGAGCAGAGCACGGACTCTAGTCCATCTCGTGCGCACGTGAAAGGATGTGTGTATTCCTGCTTACTTAGATAACAGGAATTCAGTTCATTTTGGGATAATACAAAAAAAGCTATATCACCTAAGGTAGGCAAAGAGTGGCGTGATTTTTATCGACTAGTTTGCTGTGGGTTGAACGATGGTATTAATACTAACCTGATTTCAAAATTTTAACATTATGTTTTTTTGTAACATTTTGGAAAACGATTTGTGATTTTTAAGTAAACAGTAACTTTTCATTTTGATATAGCGTGGAATTTGAATCTAAGAAAAAAAAAATAACATTGTTTTCGTCTCATAGTGTGATACATGTACACGATCTTATCTAATCTCTGATACAAACACGGAACGGAAAATCAAGAATTCTGTGTTTTCGATTGATTTGATGCTAATTAATAAAGTTTGGTTTTGATGAAATAAAAAATTTGACACTTCTGACATTTTTTGCTTTTGATCTTTTTTTTGAGTGTGTTGTGTTCTTTTGTTTTTCTCATTCTTACCCCCGAAACAAAACGATTTGGTTGCCAGGGAAACCTCCCCCGTGCCTGCTACTTTATCGTTTGCTGTGGTAGTTCTGACCTGAAACTGGTGTTTTGAGTGTTTGAGTGTGTTGACCGCTAGAATGACCAGTGGTCATTAGTGACCATCACTGGCCTTGAAGGGTGTGATAGTAACTTGCTCACCGCGTGGTTTTCTCTGAATTCTCTAGCAACTAACACTTTTTCTTTTTCTCTCTTGTTCTTTTATAGTCTTACATTCATCCTATCTATATTTCTTCATTTCTTTCCTTCTCTTCTTTTCCTTCCTTTCTTTCTTTATCTGTATCGGTATCTGGATATACTCTTCTTTTACTTCTGTCTTTCAAGCCCTTTCGTCTTTCCTTTCACCTCTTGTCACGCTTGAAACTGCTTTAGAAAAACGTGTGTGTAGTGTTTTAGAATTAAACATGAATTAAAAATGCATACATGTAACTCTGATGTGTTTGCTTTGTATAGTATGGCCATGAAAATTGATGTAAGTATGGTCACGTATGTAACGGCCTGTATCGGACAGTGAGGGCCACCGTCGGACTTGGCAACATCCAACCTGTGTTTAAATGAAAACATGATTCGAAACACATGGTCAAGGCCATTAAATATCACATTGTATTGCAAAAATCCCCATATCGTGGTCATTTTAAAACGACCACGGACCTTTAAACTATAAAATAAAAAGATAAGAGGGATTTGCATTTGGTGACGTCATCAGCAGAAGGCGAAAACGAGGTCACAGGGCCATCGCTGCAGGTCAAAATCGCAGAAGATCCAATGTCAAGGTCAGTACCAAATATATTAACAACATTACAAAAACACGCATACCCACACGTGTAATAGCATAGAGCGTTGCCGTTTTCCATTGATTAACACTGACCGATTTATAATCTATCTTTAACGAGTGTTTACAGACACGTCCAGCTGGGGAGTAATTATAATCTTTATACAACCTATACTATTTCCAATTACGCCAAAATCTCCCAGACGGATTTCACTATCATTATACTTCATTCAAGACCTGTTGGGACCTGCCATTATAAACTTTTTTTGTAGGAACGTCCATTGTTATAAGAAATACTGGAAATATAATTATCTGTCATAAAACACATTTTAAACATTAAGTGGTATCTATAATCCTACCTAGACTGTGTGAGGAATAAAAGGCTGAGTCGGGCATGAAAGGGGAGTAATTTGGGCAAGTTTCTCCGCTGATGTAATTATAAAGCATACATCTTAGGCTTTTCTTTATTTAAGACAAGTTTCCATGTAAGGAGCGAAGTAAATTCCTGTACCGTATAAATAAAAGTGAATTATCATGTGTCGGTAATATGTAGAAGTATTATACTCTCCGAATTTGTCAGGACCGGGTGATTCTTCCCCTGTCTACTCATACCATCAAGATTACAAGCTTAGTCGCCATAATCACAACATTTTCTATTGCACAGAAACTCTGTGTACGAAGTAATAAAAGGATTTATGGAATAAAAAGAACCGTTCTTCAGACCTGTTAGATGATGACGTCATCATTTTTTTAATCAATAGATTGTTTAAAAGGAACGAATATAACACTAGGTAAATTTCACACGTGCTTTAGTTAAACAGCTGGTATTATTGAAAACTAGGACTGAAAAGCTAATAAAACGTTAGACACAATTAAAGTAGAATTGTCATATTTACCTGAAGGCCCTGTCCAAACATTTAGCAGACGTAAACACCGCGGTGTTGACCCTGAGTCGAGTTTAAATTTAATCAATAGCCTCTTTTAGAATAAACTTTTGTCACTCGGAGTGTAAACGCTTAAGATAAATAATTAAAGTTTAAGGCTTTTATAGAAATGTAGCATTTCCCATACAGTCTACATGAACAGATGTTTTTCTTTAGTTTGGCCCGTTAGAAACTCCCGGTACCGTTTTCCATATTATTGTGACACCGATAACAAGTAAAATGGCTGCCGTGCCATTGTTTACTTTAAACCATGGCTCACAAATGTACACACACATTTGTATAACCATTTTCATTAGTTTTTCCGATAAAATCATAAAGATGTTATCAAATGTTGAATGATTTCACTGGTCATTTCTTCCATTTATACGCTAAAATGGGTTTGTTGAGTTATGACTCGATCGGGTATAATGGTTTAGTGAGTAAGCACAAAGAATAGACACGGTTCGCTTGTAAGTCAGTTTATCACATAGTGGCTTCATGGTATAAAAGATTCAATCTTTAGTGTATATTCTAGCGCTGACATTCGCAATATATATTCAAAAAAATCTATTACTTCGTCGTAGAGTTGTAACTACATATTCAAATATTACTGCGTCGTATAATTGTTATTACATATTAATTCATTTTTCCACAGCGTCGTATACTTGTAACTACTGCCACGGTATAACTACATATTAAACCTATTCTATTACTTTGACGTATATCTATATATTACACACATTCTTATATTGCGTCCCATAGGTTACGTATATTTTCTGAGTGCGTTGTATAAAAACAGAATTACAAATATTCCGTCCTAACTACGTCGTATAGCCACAAAGAAAACACATTATCTCCAATACAGGAGGTAATAGCCAAATAAATATTCATACAACAAAGAAAACATAAACGAGATGTCTGTTGCTCTTCCATTGATAGGTACTTTATATTTTATCTCATCACACGTAGTTTTATCTTTACATTACGAGATTCTCAGTGTAATTTACATTTACTAAATGTGTCATAAAATAGTGTTATATATTACCTCCATGATGTTATATCAATTTTACACTGACAGATAAATTAGTTAACACCGTAAAGTGCAGTTTAAAATTATAAAAAAAACATCATAGAATAAGTATAGCATACATTTCTAGAGTAAAAGACTGACGTATACTTGGTTGCCAAATTATCAAGGCATGTCGACATAAATTACTGTAAGATAACCATTACTGAAAAATATATTGTATATCAGTACAAATCGGACAACCGCAATGCCAGTCAATTTGTGACAACGTTACAAACAATAATGGCAAAACAAAAATATCAATAACATATTCTAAGATATATCTATATTTCAATGTAGTCTTATTGTTTCTTTAAAATGTTTTAAGCCTCAGTGTTACAAGATTAAATCGTCTAGGTTTCCTGACAACTGAAATGTTGGATACCCCTATGAGACTCGGGAACCCGTGATACGATGTGGGCTATGCAGAGTGTAAGACACACTGATTTGTTTTTTTAGAACGGTATGTCCAACATAAGCTAGAGCTTTGTATTAATAATGTGTATAGAAGTATAGAAACACATTCTGGGTTCATGTTACTATTGTTTGTGTTAGATGTATTGATGTAGCAGACATACATTGTCGACTAGTGGACTGGTGTTACGGTAAGGTGTACGCTAGGCTAAGATACCTATACCATCTGATGGAGATTACAACATGAAATGAGTACCCGCGTGTGCACATCCATACAATCGCATTAAATTAACAAATTCCCTTCAACATTCAGGCTTTAA